AAGTGTCATTTTTAATATCAAAATCTTGGAACACCCAACCAGCCAGGATGAGCCAGGCTAAAGCCAGAAGCCCAGAACTCCATCCTTGTCTCCTGTGTGCATCCATGAACCTGTGACACTTAGGCCATTGTTGGATGTCTCCTACGATGTGAGTTAGGAAATAGCCATGACTAAAACCAAGCACTAAACAATTGCACCAAATATCTGTCCTGCATATCATTCTTTGTGCACATGCAGAAATACTGTTTAGGATAAATTCCTAGAAGTGGGAGCTGGCACATTGGCATAGCAAACAAATTCTCTGCCACTGCCACTGATAACGCATCTGGGTGCCAGTTCATGGCTCAGTTGCTCCACTTCTGATCCAGCCCCCTGCTTATGGCCTGGGAAAGCAGCCAGAGAATGCCTCAAGTCCCAGCTCCTGGCTTCGGCTTTGCATTAGCTCAACTTGGGCCACTGCCCCCATTTGGGGACTGGACCAGTGGATTGAAGACCTTCTCTCTTTGCCTATCCTCTCTCTGTAAAATCTACCTTTCAAATAAAAATAAATAAACCTTGAGAAATAAATTTAAAATAAAAATGAATTCCTAAAAGTGGCAATGATTGCTTTTTATACCTGTGTTTGTTCATTTTGACGGCCATTACCAAATAGTTCTCCAAGTAGATTACACTGGATTACACTTCCTCCAACAGAGTGTGGTTAGCAACCTGCTTGTAAGTTTTGTTTATTTGTTTTGAAAAGCAGATTTGCAGAAAGGAGAGACACACAGAGAGATTCCACCTGCCAGTTAACACCTCAGATGGCTGCAATGGCTGGAGTTGAATTGATCTAAAACTGGAAGCCAGGAGCTTCTTCTGAGCCTTCCATGTGAATGCAGGGAAAGGACTTGAGCCACCCTCCACTGTTTTTCTCAGGACATAAGCAGGGAGCTGGATTGGAAGTGTAGCATTCAGGATATAAACCAGTGTTCATATGGAATGCCGGTGTGGCAGGTAAAGGATTGGCCTGTTAAGCCACCATCTGGCTGGCCCAGATATTTTTTATTTTTAAATAACTAATTATAAATTTGTTTTATTTGTAACATCTGGCCATCAGGAGATCTAAATCATTTATGAGACTGCATCACATTCAGGGATATAAACTGCTTCCAGGTGCAGAAAAATTTGCAGTAGGGGCAAATGTTTGGCATCATGTTTAAGATGTTCCTAGGGATACCTGTATGCCATATCAGAGCGCCTGGGTTCAAATCCTGGCTCTGCTATCAGCTCCAGCTCCATGCTAATATACATTCTGGCTGGCAACAGGTGACATTTCAAGTACCCGGATTCTTTCCATCCACGAGGAAAATCTGGAATGAGTTCTGTTCCTGTGGCTTGGGCTGGCCTAGCTGTGTCTATTGTGCAAATCTGGAGAGAGAAACAGACCATGAAAGATCTCTGCTTTCTTGTCTGTCTCTCTGCCTTCAAATAAAAAGAAAGCAATTATTTTTAATGATATTGAATCTGCAATAGTATAGAATATTGATTCTGGAGCATCAGCAAGCCAGTGACAATCACCTTTCCTTTTTTTTTTTTCTTGAAGTCCATTGTTAATGTTTTCTTCAAGGAACCATGTGTAGCACATGATGTCACTTATAGAAAGCCTCAAAACAGGGAAGTTTTCACTTAACATTTCAAAGCCAAGGAGAGGAAGTTGTGGAAAAAACATTGGTGTGGAAACCTTAACTCCAAAAGAATAACCACTCTTTACTCAGTAAAGTGATATCTCATACTGATGACACTATACAAAACCTTACACATATCATTATAACATAATTTCATTACATAATTTAAACTATAGGACAGGGCTAAGACAAGCAAAGATTTTCATCTCCATTTTACAAATAGAAAAACAAGAAAAAGCAGTGGCTCACCCAACCTCGCAAAAGACTTATTTTACTTATTTGAAAGAATGTTAGAATGAGAGGGAGACACAAACCAACACATTCACACACACACACACACATACACACACGCGCATAGCTCTCATCCACTGGTTCACTTCCAAAATGCTTTCCAAAGGCCAGTACTAGGCTTGACAAGATCCAGGAAATGTAAAATCCGTCTTGTTCAAGTGAAAGGAATCTAACCTCACTTGAGCTCCCCCTGCTTTCTCCCAAGGTCCACAATCAGCAAAACGGTGTAGTTAGGACCTGGAGCTGGGACTCGGATGCAGACACAGGGTCTGGGTGTCTTACTGCAGGACGAACCATCAGCCCTACTTCTCAAGTTATTAAGAAGTCCTTCCTATTACTGAGTGACAGAATCCTTTGCATTTCTTTCTGTTATCATAATTATTTTACTTTTTATTGAGTCTTCATTCCACTTCCAAGTGGAGTCACTTCTCTATTTTGTTTCAAGAACCCACCTCTCAGTCTTTTTTTTCCCCTCACAATACCTCTATTTTCATTTCCATGACATTCAACTATGCCTTTTTGAACATCTGTATCTGGTCAGACTATAATGAAACAGTATCGTGTTTCATTATGCCTCTGTAAGTATAGAGGCCCTGCACTCATCTTTGCAGCAGAAATTACCTCTGTAGCGGATGGCTCTTCCAGGGAACAAAGACCATAGTATGTCAAACTTGACTTCATTCTGACCCAAATATGTTACTGCCCTCTGACTTCCAATGGCAACCTTGCGTCGGTCATTTGCTTTGCATATATCAACAGCTTTACCTGTGTTGGGAGTGCCACACAGACCACTAAACACGGTTATCAATTTCAGCAGATCGGTCTGGAGCCCCTGAGGAAATTTATAGGCAGCAGTATTATATAAGGGACCTTGGAGCTCAGCACCATCTCATTTTTCACACACCTAAAAATTCCTACAGTGATGCCACAGGATCTTGGGCAGGTGGTTTCCCAGGGAAGGTTGAGATAGCCTGAAGCAGAGCTGGTGCCACGGTCATTTCCTAGTCTCTGGCCTGCCCCCTCCATGGCCAGCAGAGGCCCCGCCGAGTACCCAGGGCATTTTGATGCCTGGAGTGGCCTCCTGCAGCCAGACTTCCTGGAGAATCAGAGGCCAGAAGAGTGAAGCATCCACTCTGCTCTCCTGTTCCCAGAAGGCTTTTCCCACCCTGCGATAGACGTCCACGTGGAAAGGCAATGCCAGTGACTCTGCCTGTGGAATCTCATGGGTGGGTACAGCAGCGTCCACGAGAAATCCCAAGCCCTTGACCAGGCAAATGCCTTCTGCCTGCACACACACACACAGTGACCCTGCTGCAGGCACAGCACTGCCTCCTCTCTCCCTCCTGCAGTCACGAAGCCTTGGCCACAAAGCCCTGAGGATCCCTCCTGCTCATCTTCGCTTCCCCACCCTGAGTGGGGACAGAACTCCACCTGCCAACCACTGCGCTTGCTCCACTGCCCAAATGTGGAATACAGCCTCCACAAACCTGCGGAGGGCTCTTGGATACTGCAAGTGCTCCAAACCATAGGCAGCTCCCACCAGCCTGGGGACAGCATGCAGGCACTGCTCTCCACCCTCACCCCACTCACCTGCTCCCTGTAGGCTCCGGTTCATGCTTGCCCTGCTGAGAATCTGCCCTGAGTCCACAGAAGCAGTTGCAGGCCTGGTGTCCTTTAACCCACAGGCTTGCTGGAACCCTGCTACAGCCCTCTTCTTTTCATTTTCTTTTTATCTCTCTTCCTTCCTTCCTTTCTTCCTTCCTTCCTCTTGCTTTTTCTTTCAAGATTTATCTATTTACAGGAAGAGAGAGAGATTTTGCCATGCACTTGTTCATGTCTAACATGGCCATAATACCCAGAGATGGCCAGAAGGAAGTCAGAAGCCAGGAGCTGCTTCTAATGGGTGCAGCAGCCCAAACTTCTGGATGAGAAGTGGAGCTGGATGAGAAGTGGAGTAGCTGGGACTGAACCCAGCACCCAATGGACTGTTGGCATAGCAGGCAGTGGTTTTACTAGCTACACCACAACACTTTAAAAATACATATTGATTTATTTGAAAGGGAGAGAGAGAATTTTCTATTTGCTGCTTTCCCCCTAAAATGAGTGCAATGCCTGAGGCAGCAAGGACCGTGGGACTTCATGAGGGTTATTCACGTGGGTAGCAAGGATCCAAGCAGTTTGGCCATCTTTAATAACTGCTCAGGATCCAGGCACATGATCAGGTAGGGGGTCAGAAGCAGAGCAGACGGACTCGGATCAACACTTCAGCCGTGGAGGCCAGCTGCACCAGGGGCAGCTTAAGCTGCAGGACACCCAGCCCCTCGCCCAACAACATTCACATCCCTTCTCTCTCTCTCTCTCTCTCTCTCTCGTCCTTCCCTCCCTCCCCCTTATTCCTCCACCCCAGCCCACTGCACGCACCCATCCTACCGAATCATCACTGTCCTCTCCTAGATGCTATCAGAACTTGGGTGCTCCAAGTAGTTACTGCTTGACCAGTCTGGCTTCATTCGACCTCATGTTAAACAAGGGCGCTGTGAACACATGAAGTCCCATTGGCAGTGAAGGACCCGAAGGGTCCTGTTCACCCTGATACCCCTCACCTCGCACCTGTCGTCCTGGCATAAGTGGGCCATCCGCAGGAATGTGTGAGGCACCAGCGATTTGGCCACCCCTCCCAGAATAAGCAGCAAGCGGTGATCAGGACGCATGGGGAGGGCAGAGATGGAAAGTGGGAGCAGGAGAGCCCTGTCGGGAGGGGGCGCTGCCTGGCGCGGGGAGGGGAAACAAGCCTGAGGAGGTAGGCGGGGCAGGGGTCCGGCCGGCGGGGAGACCCCGGGCCACAATCCCTTGAAATTTCGCTTTCGTTTTGGAGCTGGCAGAAGCGGCGGGGAGGTCCCGAGCGCCAGCGGCCGAAGCCTGGGAGTTAATCCGAAAGTGCCACCGGCCTGCAGATCCGACGAATTGCACGTGTCACCGAGAAGCTGATGTAGAGAAAGACAGAGAGAGAAAGCAAGAGACTATAATCCCGGGAAACTCCTGGAGTGCCTCCGCGCAATTATAAAAATGTGGCCCCGGGGTCCGCCCAGCAGCATCCGCCCTCACCTGCTGCGCCCACTGGCCCGCGTCCAGCCGCCCCGCTCGGTGTCCGCGCCCTCCGGTTCAGCATGCGATCCCCACGCGGTGAGTAGGGACGGCGCTCGCTGTTTGGGCTGGGGAAGGATGGCTGCTTGGCCCCGGGAGGCCGAAAGGCAGGAAAGGGGAGTGGAGACTTCAGAGGATCCGCAGTCTCCGGTAAAAGAAGACAGGATGGAAGGGCTGGGGGCGCTCCCTGTGCGCTTCCCCAGGCCAGTCTTTTGCTCATTTTGCCGGTTCCACAGATGAGACCCAGAGAGGGAGGCGGCTTGCCCACGGTGGTTCTGCCACAGCTGGGAGAGACCAAATCCCTGTCACTTCCAAAAGGGAAATTTTGCTGTCCCGCCGATTCTCCCGGATCAGCCCATAGAGCAGTTTCCCTATCTGATCTGGGTGAGCGCCCCGGACAACATCCTGTCCCACTGTTTGCGCCAGAGTGCTGCCTTAGACAGGGCACCGACCTCTGCTTTCCAACGAATGCCAGCACTCGGGAGATGGGGAAGGTGCAGTCAGAAACGGGCAGGAGCCCATGGGCGCTGCTGGCCACAGCGGCAGGGAGGCAGCACTCCAGGCAGGCAAGTTCAGCTGGACCCTTTGCTTCCTTTGCAGGCCTGCTCCTTCTCGGGTCTGCCCTGGTCCTCCTGAGCCACCTCAGCCTGGCCAGGAACCTGCCCGTGGCCTCACCAGGGCTGGGGATGCTCCAGTGCCTTAACTACTCCCAGAATCTGCTGAGAGCTGTCAGCAGCACCCTGCACAAGGTGAGCTACCCGGCGCTCCGGTCTGTCCGCCCACCTGCTCCCCAGCCTCTCTGCCCAGGGGTTTCTCCAAAGCCATCCTGGAAGGAAGCTGGGAAGTTGTGGGAGTTCATCGCCATTTGGGAAGGGGACGGGGTCCACAAGTGACCCAGTTACTAACTAAAGAGGCTTCATATCCTGCTGTGATCACTTTCGATGGCATCCATCCCGCACGGTCTGCACAGAGGAAGGCGGAAGGCGACTGTATTACAGCCTCGCTGCCAGCTGAGGCAGGAGGGATGTGTCGGCTGCACAGTTGCTTTGACACCCCTTCTCCATCCAGGAGGCATTATTAGGGGCTTCTCCTGGCCTGCCAGCCCTACAGCCATGAATTAGATGGGTCCCACCCACTGCTCCCCGATTGCTGGGTTGCTGGCCATATCTTTATCACAGCAGTATATCCAGGGAGGATCCGACAGTACAGGTCTCACTTCCTTTCTACAGGAGGCGAGGCAGTAAATATGGTGTACAGATTTATCCTGTGTTTTAGGCTTTTTGGGTTTTAATGCAAAAGATAAAGTTTCTTTGCATTCTAAAGCAGCTCCACTAGCCATTGGTTCTAAAGCTCCATTTGTTTTCCCACTCCTCTGTAAATCTGTCTTGAGTATTTCTAGCTTGTTGCCTTGTAGAGGTTGTAAAATGAGCTCAACGCCCCAAGACCTTCTGAAAGAACGCTTTCCTAACCTTCTGATCTGCCATGACCGGCTGCCGGTTGCTCCTGACAATTCAATGAATCCTAATTAAAATGGAGGCTCACCTGGGAGAGCAGTAGTGCTAAGTGCCTGGTTTCCTAGAGAGAGGTCGGTAGGGGTCAAAGCATCAATCTAGGCAAATTGTACACGGATGCTCTGTGGGAAGCCACGCTGAAGGTCACCACACCACAGCACTGGAGTCCACTTGCTCCTTTGTCAGTCGTCAGAACAGACCGGGTGGCTGCTGTGTAGGGCGGTGGTGGCAGGTGCAGAGGACGCAGAGGCTGAGTCCAGTCCACAAATATCTCGTGTTTTTGAGTTGGAACGCCAGGCCTTTCATGCAAGATTCTAACTTGCCAGCTGCGATGGGAAACTGCATCCTGCTGCTCATGGCTTGAAGTCTTCTCCAGGAGTAGCCCAGGGCTAGATTCCTAGGACTGCTGTCACAAACCTCCCTGCCCAGGTGCCTTCAACACACAAATGTGTGATCGTAGAAGGTCGGAAGCCCCCGCTGGGTCTTTACTAGACTGACATCTGGGGATGGTGGAGCTAAGCTCCTTCCTGGAGATACTAGAGGAGAATCTGTCTTCTTGCTTCTTCTGGCTTCCTGAGACTGCAGCTTCTCTGTCTGCTTGTAGCCCCTGTGATTCCTTTGGGACCACCCTCTCCCTGCTCAGCACCCTGAATGTCACCCGCACTTTCCTTCCTCTCTGCCATGTCACATAGCATATGACCTGGTTCAGGTACTGATAGGTGGGTATCTTTGCAGGGAGTTGTAGGGGAGGGGTGGGCATTTGTCTCCACCTGCCACAGATAAAGATCTTGCTCTTTTGCCCAGCTGTATTCTGCACTTCCAGGCCTTGGCCCAAGGCTCCCGCAGTTCCCTTTGCTTGAATTTCCCCTCCACGTGCTGTCTACCTCCTCAGGTCCCAATTCCTGAGAGGTCTTTGCTTCTCAGTCTCCCCTTTTTAGAGCTCTCAAGCCCTTCTCAGCATGAAGCCATGGCCTCTGATCCATCCCTTCTGCAGGTGGGCTCGGAATTAAGGGACATAACACAGCCCTCCTCACTGTCAGGTGCATAGCGCTTCGGACTATGACACGCACCAGATTGTTGAATGGCTAAAATGATCTCAATCTTCTATCAAAACGCCCTTGACCGCTTAAGCCATCTGTCACAATGCTGTTCAATAGAATTTTTCGACACGTTACTGTGTGTGGATGAATGTGTTTGTATGGGTGTGTGGACCACAGTTAAATCTCACCTTATCTTCAGCGTGTAGCTACCAAGCTGGGATCTTATCGGTTCTCCTTTAGAAGTCATACTTGAAAAAATATTTGTCAAATACAAGTTCTTTGGCAAAAGGGGGAAAAAAAAGCTGTTTTCAGCGGAAGCAGGTGTTGCTGTGTGGTGTAAGGCCGAGCATGACAGCCTCTGAAGACGATTCCTCATGTTTATGCAGCAGAAAAGGATATCACCCACAGACTCAGGGAGGAGAGAGTGTCAGCGGCCCAGTTTCTGCTGTTTGAGCAACAGTTAACATTTTCTACAGGTCAAAGAGAGGGAGGTCAGAGGCAGCCAGCTGTAGACTGGCTGGGGCAGCTGGCAGCCTTACTAATATTATCAACTGACTTCATTACAGGCCAGACAAGCTCTAGAATTTTACTCCTGCACTCCTGAAGAGATTGACCATGAAGATATAACAAAAGATAAGACCAGCACAGTGAAGGCCTGCGTACCACTGGAGTTAGTCAAGGTATGCAGAACCCAACACACTGAAAAGTTGGACAGCACCGAACCCCAGCTGCTTCCAAAATGGACATGCTGCTCATGTCCCTTGTCACGCAACTTCAAAAAGGCCTGCTGTGGAAGTTAGATTTGGGGGGAAAATACCAGAACAAATATGTTTTCACAACAGTGTGAATGTACTTAATGCCCCTGAATTATCCTCTTAAAAATAGTTTACAAGGGGTGAGGGGATCGGTAGTAGTGGTGGGCGTGTGGTCTAGTAGTTGAGATGGCATCCTTTGGGAAGCCTGCATCCCGGATCTGCTTCCGATTTCCACTTCCTGCCAGTGCATGACCTGGGAGATAGAGGCTGACGGCTTAGCTGATCTCATAGTAAGACGTGGACTGAGTTCCTGGCTCCTGGTTCTGGCCCCGGCTGCTGCAGGCGTATGGGGAGTTTCCCCAGCATCTTTCTCAAAACAAAACAAAACAAAAACAAAAGATGATGAGTTTTCTGTTGTGTGATTTACTGTAATAGGACCACTGCTAGGTTTGAAATGATCCATCAGAAAGATTTACATTAAGGATTAAGTCTGTATATGCTTTTTCCCCCCCAGAATGAGAGTTGCCTGGCTTCCAGAGAGACCACTTTAATAACTGTAAGTCAGAACTGAATGGTTTCTGCCCACATGATGGATTCAAATCACATATGTGGGATTGGTTTTTCTTCTTTCCTTCTTTTTTTTCCTTCTAGAACGGGAGCTGCCTATCTCCTGGAAAGACGTCCTCTGTGGTGGTAAGCCACACTACTGTTTCCTTAAGTGTGCCTGGGGGAAATGTTTGTAGGCGGGCTCAATAATTCCTTCCCCATTTTGTTGTCACAGAGCCTGTGCCTCAGTAGTATCTATGAGGACTTGAAGATGTACCAGGTGGAGTTCATGGCCGTGAATGCAAAGCTTTTGATGGATCCTAAGAGACAGATGTCTCTAGATCAGAACATGCTGGGAGCTATGGATGAGCTGATGCAGGTAAGACCATGACAACAGCTTTCTCCTTCTGAAGACAGCCAGCCAACTCCCCTTCCCAGTTAGGAGAGCCCTGGATTTCCTTCCCTGAAGGCCCCTGCAGTTTGATTTGCGGTAGGACAGCCTGGAGAGTGCCCTCTAGAGGAAGGGCACATCACAGTAGAAGAGACAATTACAGTAGGAAGACAGCCTCCGTTTACTGACCACATGACTCTACAGATGTTGTGAGCTTTGTGACAGCCACAACAGCCATGTGGCAGCTGTGCAAAGGAGGAAACTGAAACTTGATGAAACCACTTGTCTGAGGTCACACAGCAAGTGTGTCAACCTCAGGAGGAGGATCCCTCTGACTTTCTCTCGCCCCTAAAGGCCTCAGGATTCCCTGCCAAGGGTCAGTGCCCTAGCTACAGACGGTGCTGGAGGAGGCCAGCAACGGCATTGTTTGCTTGTGGCCTGCTTTGAACCAAATTCTTTAATAGCAGCTGGCCAGTCGTGGGAGGGCATCCACAGTGTCTTGCAGAAGTAAGCACTTGCTTTGGAGCTTTGTCGGTTGGCGTGGCACTGGATGTGGGTATGAAACATGGGCATATACACAGGAGGTGGTGGGGGAGTGCGTTGGTGACAAGAGCATGAGATAAAATATTGTGGCAGAAATCATTGTCTGAAAAGCAATTTGCTCTTACTTTTTTTTTGTTTTTTTATTTGTGTGTGTGACAAATTGATTCTTTGAAAGGAAATGAGATTCAAGTGAGCACCAACAAATGTTAGTAACCAGACAGCTGTAGCTGATTCTTTATTGTAAGAACCCAAAATCACATGATTTAGGCACCTGAATCAGTTCTGCCCATAACTGGACAACTGTGTCTAAGTCACTTAACTTGTTGAACCTCAACATCTTTCTCTGCGAAATGGGATGCTTTTGCCTCTCCTGCCTTTTTTTTTAAATGCTTTTTGTGAGGAAAAGGTCAGAATACTGCTTAATGTGCAAACATAGGTCTTGCATTGTGCTGTCAATCAAAGGGCTTAAATTGGGCTAGCCATTGCCGAGTTTATCAGACACACAGGTCTTGCCAGTACCAAATGGATGTTACTGATACAGAGGTCAGATCAATAGCAACTTGTCACTTCTGTGTTCTACAAGAGACTTGGCTTCTTCATATAACCTGGGTAGAAATTGATTAGAGTCATCTCTTTTCTGCAACGCAGCTCCTGCTGAGTTTCCAGAGAGATTTAGGGCTCTTCCCGTAGCTCACCAAAGATGCATATGTGTGGGTGATGAATACTCTCTCAGGGTGTGCCTGGCAGGTTGAGCACAGAAGTCTACGCGGGACGGAGCTGTGGGCTCTGAGACATGCACTGGCTTCACCCACTCTGACAGCTGAATGTTTTATTTTAGAATGCCATATTGTCATGCCCAATGTTCATCCTTCTAGGCCTTGAATTCCAACGGTGAAGCTGCACCACCAACCCCCTCCCATGAAGAACTGGATTTTTACAAAACCAAAATCAAACTCTGCATCCTCCTGCATGCTTTCAGGATCCGTGCTGTGACTATTGACAGAATGATGAGCTACCTGAATTCTTCTTAGCAATCCCCCTAAATCCATTTTAATCAAAATTAGAACCAAAGAAATTGGAATAGTGTGCGGGTGAAGACTTGGGGGTAGGGGGTTAAAGGGGTCCTACCTACACTCAGGCAGGGCTCCCCCTGCTTCTGTGAGCTTTGAGGGATGACCTGCACCTCCAGCTCCCTGGGGTCAGGTCCCTCACATGTGCTGTGCATGTTGTTTTCAATTCGTGTGCAAATTGTTCAGGAACAAATATGTCCACCCTGATTGAACTTTTCATATCCTGTATTAGAAGAGCAAGAATTGATAAGCTATTTCTGTACCCAAGTGTTTATAACAACAAACATGCATCATTTAAGGAATATTTATTGATAATAATTTTATATTTATGAAAACATGTGAACTATCTTATATTTATTTATGTCATATTTATTTAAAATATTTATTAAGTATACTTGAAAATATTTATTTAAGTGTTCTAAAAATAAAGCAATGGGATGAAAATAATTCTGTTGTTTCTGTAATGTGATTGGCATTCTTTGAGTTAAAACACGTGTTGTTTCCCAGCAGTAGGCAATTGTCTAGGTTATTATGCCCACTGCTAATAGCTGGTGGGCATCCTGGGTCTGGTTAATGCCAAATTTATATTACCTATGCCAGTTGACCAGCGTTCTATTTTTTAGTTCTTTTTTTTTTCTTTTTTTAAATATGTGGGGGTAGTTGCTGGCACACCATCAGATAGGGTTCTGGGGACCAGTTCGTGAGTGTGTGTGAGCTCTGGGTAGGCAGGCAAGACTCCAGGTTGGCACAACACACTGCTTGGGGATTGGCACACTGCTTGGGGGACTGTGGATTGCTCAAGGAAGGGAGTCTGAAGCTGTGTGGGAGGGGCGGCCACTGAAGGGGAATGTGACAGGTAAGAGGTGACTTCTGGGGGATTTCCAACAACCAGGCTACTGCACCTGCAGGTCAATAAAGGGACTGAAACCAACCTGGTGATTTAGAGGAGGGAGACCAGAGGACCTTGGGGTCAAACCAGTACATCCATCCACATGGGAGAACTGAGCTGGAGTTGTTGGTATTAACTATTGCCTACCAGCACACACAAAACCAAAGCTAGGGTGCCTACCTGGCAAGCTCGACCACAATACCCTCCAGTGAGTGTTGGGGCAGGGGTTGGACCATGTTAGGCTGGGGCATGACACTAACCAGCTAATGAGATAACCAGATCTGAAAGACGACTCTGTGTGGGATTTCTGAGATCTTCCCTGTGGGACTGCTATACCAGCTGGTTTGCTCAAGGGCTGGGAGTACAGAGAGGCCAAGCTAGGCATGACCATAGAACTCACCAATATTCATGGGGTTAGGAATAGGCCTGGCCAGTCCAGGCTGTAACACCCACAGGTACTTCCAAGAAATAGGTGTGGGACTGGCTGGGCTGCAACATCCACCAGCACTCACAAAGACTGAGACTCAGGGGCAGACTGTTGGATAAGAGTTATCACCCACTAAAACACGTGAGATCTGAGTCTAAGAATAGGCCTGGTGGGGAACTTGGGGAACTCCCCCGGTAGGCTCTTGCTCCCACTGGTGAGCATGAGTCAGGGTGTTAGTCAAGCGGGGCAGAGCTATTACATTTGTCGATAGGTATGTGAATTGGCTCGGCAGGAGGGGAAGGGGATCAGACCTGGCAGGGCTGGGCCAACCTATAGCACACTGGCATGCACAGGAGCCAGGATGGGGTGCAGGTCATGCTGAGTTAGCCAAGGCTGTCATACCTGGCGATTTTCATGAAAGCCAGGGATGGGGACAGGTTGGGCAGGGGTAGGTTGCAGTACCCACCAGCAAGAGCTGGGACTGGGGGTGGGCTAGGCCAGGCCAGGCTGCAGCATCCAATGGCAAAGGCCAAGCTGGGAAATGGGTTATGCTGGGCTGGGTCAGAGTAACCACAGACAAACGCAAGGTATGTGGCTGGGATCAGGTCTGGCCAGGGAGCTAAGGGGATCCCCCCATGGCCTGTGGTTTCTGGTGGTAAGCATGAGAGCTAGAATGGGGGCAATGAACTGGGCTGGGCATGGCTGCATAATTCCTTGGCATGGGGGTAGACTGGGTCTGGGTTGTACCAGACTGGGCTAGGACTCTGCACCCGCTGAACTATGCAAGAGCTGAGTCTGGGGGTGGGCCAGGAGAGCATCCCAGACCAAGCCAGGTCACAGTATCAATCAGTATATGAGTGGGTTAGGTCTTGAGTGGGCCAGGCTGGGTCAGTTCATAGCACCCACTTGGAAATGGTAGAAGATGTATGGCTTGGCCCATGCTGCACTGGTATGAAAGAATACCTGAACCAGGTGACTGACAGAGAGCAGAGATGTACTTCTTAGGGTCCTGGAGGGTGGGGATCCAAGATTAAAGAGATGACACTGAGTGCCTTGTTCTCCGCATGATGCAGGAGAACAAGAGAACAAGAGAGGGCCACACCCACTCTTCAAGCCCCTAAGATGAATGGCATCCACCTGCTGAGGAGGACAGGGCCTCCCACCCTAATTCCATCCTTGAAGAAATCACTTCGCAATACAGTCACCATGGATATTGTCACAACAGGGAAGCTGTATTTAAGCCAGGACAATTCACTTGACAGAATACCACATAATTTTCATATATGAATAATCCTATTCTTAATTAATATCCAGGGGCTCTATATAAATATGTATATGTGTACAAATTCATAATTTATTTTACATTTATAGAGCAGTCTCATTCTTCAGACACTTATCTCCTCCAAATTCCAGTCCTCATGCTGGAGAATCAGGAAGGAAAAATGTGGTCACTCCACTTGAGCATAGCAAACCTCTCCCTTTTCAGATCCTCACTCTGTTGGAGATTCAACCAGCTAGAGCTCCCTGGAAGCCACAGCCCATCCCATACACCCCTCTTGAGGGCTTCCTCCTCCAGCCACAGGCAGGCTTTTCCTTCTCTGCACAAGTCAGGCTCGGGGCCTCTGCCCCCAGGTCACCCAGGGCTGTGGCCTCCCTGCCCCTCCTCTCTGACATGCTGCCTGCTGACTGTGTGGGCAAGCAACAGGCAGGACAAGCTGAGTCTGGCTTACATGGACCGGGTGTACGCAGGGCAGCACAGGTGTGACTTTGGGTCTAGAAATTACCATGACATCAATTTCACAACCATGACTGGTCCAAGAAATGTCTTACCGATTAATTTCATTTTTCATTACATGGTTGATTTTCCACTTTATTTTTCCTGCTAAACTTGCATTTTTCCAGCTGTGTAGCACCACCAAGCTGTCGGCCGTCTCTGTCCTTGAGTCCTTGTCTCAGAAGTGAAGGTAACACTGGGCTACCTCCGAGGGAAGGAGCGAGAGTTCAGTGGGCGTCAGGCAAGGCATGGCCGCACGCTGCTGCAGGGTCGGCACCAGGATGTGTCAGCACACACTGACCATGCTCCGTCTTCGGGCCTGGTGACTCAACCCTCTACTGCTCCCGGTGCTTTGGCCTTGATCACATGAACACAGCCAGGTGCAGACAGCAGAATGTCTGCTCCCACTACTCGGACACAAAGGTCACTGACGTTGGAGACCCACTGGACTCCACTCACCCTGGAGATCTTGTCAGGATGAGTGCACTCGAACTGTGTGGGATATACTTTGTTACCCAAAACTGAGGGCACCTGTGAGGTGAACAAAGCGTGAGAAGGATCGTCCGCCGGCCCTCTCCCTGCATTCCTCCCCAGGCCGAGTTCTGTCCAGGCCTGGCAAGAACAGCTTCATCTTGGTGTCCACAGCTTGTACAGCTCACCTGGTGGCTGAGTGACAGGTGCTTTGAGTTGTCCTCTGGCTCTGTGTGTGTACCTACTGTGCCCTCTGCTTCTATAACAAGGTCACAGGAAGTCACGGCCACTGTCATCACACCCACACAGTCATCATCATGGCTACTCAAGATCTCCCCTTTGCCTCCCCATGTTGGAAACCTCGATAGGAGGAGATGACACTAGGGCATTGGTCCCCCTGCCCCAGGAAGTAAAACTGGGAGCCCGAGGAGGTCACTTCACATGTTTCTGCTTCCACTTTGTAAACAGAGTCTCTAGATTTTGAAAAGTTCTTTTAAAATTTAGTGTATTTGAAAGAGTCACAGACTGAGTGTGGACTAGGCTTGGCTGGACTGTGGAACCCAACAGTAAGAAGCAGATAGGATGAGGGTCAGTCAGGAAATGAGGTGGAATGGTTAGAGCTGGCCCATGGATGCACCAGTGTGTGCGAGATCTGTCATTGGGAGGGGTTCTGACGGTGGACCCTGGGGAACCCCTCAGTTGGGACACAGTCCCCGCAGGTGAGCGCAAGAACCAAGACAGGGAGCAGCCCAGTCAGGCCAGGTTATGGCACCCATGGACCTACCTTTGATTTGGGTCTGGGGTGAGCCAGGCTAGGCCAGTTCATATCACCCACTGGTAAATTTGAGAATCAGAATGGTGTGTGGATCATGTCAGGAAGGGCTGCAATATCAACCAGTTCACACGAAGGTCAGAACTGGTTGCTGTCTGGACTGGCTAGGCTGTAGTCCCCACCAGTGTGAGCTGGAATTGGGGATTAGCTGGGCACCTCTCTGATGGGCTGCAACTATCGCTGGTGAGTATGGAAACCAGGACTGGGGGTAGGCATGGCTTGATGGAGAGCGGCACCCACCGACACCAGTGTGGACTGGAAAATGAGGCTGGCTGGGGTGATCTAGGCTTCGATGCTCATTGACATGTATCAGAGCAGAATGAGAAGTGGGACAGAGTGGACCAATCTGCTGTGCATGCAGCAAATACAGAAACCGGGGCAGGGAGCAGGCCTGGTGAGGGTTATTGCAGGCCGCTCCAACTAGGCTACAACTCCCACTGGTTTGTGTGAGTGGGTAGGATTGGGCTGGACTGCAATATCTATTAGTTTGCACAGAAGCCAGAGCTGGAGATGGAACTGACCCAGCAACTGCAGCCACCAGTGTGCACGTAGGTAGATCTGGGCAGTGGAATGGGCTGGATTCTACACTGACATACACACAAGAACCAGGTCTGGGATCACCTCAGGTGAGGTGTCTTTGGGAATCCCCAAACTGAACTGCAGAACTCAGAGCTCCAACCATGGACAGAATACAGGCTCCACAGTCTGATCATGGAGTGCACTGGTCCTCCTCGGTGGCTCAGATGGAACAGTGGATGGCATACCCAGATGCACATGGAGGATATGGCAGTCCAATGGAGCCTGCAGAGGACACCTGGGACCCTAACAGAGGACAGAGGACTGAACAGATGGACCAACAACCCCAGCCATGAGTTGGCAGTGACTACCTGGGCAAATGGAGACTGCAAGGCAGACTGTGTCAGCCAGTGAATTCTGGAGAGATTTCATCATGATTGGAGT